CTTCACACCCCCTAAGCTGCACACACCTTCCCCATTCCCGGATTTCTAGCTCAGTTTATCTCCCTCCATCATTGTCATCTCACATCTCCTTTTCTCACCCTAGAATTTAAATTATCCTTATTATGAAGACCAATTTTTTGACTCCTTTGTTGCTTTCCCCGATAACAGTCAAATTGCTACTTCATCCCTTAGAATATGGTGCAATAGCGATTTGTTTTTTAATCCAACTGTTGGTTTTACTTTATGTCTCAGCGGGGTCATGTGGGAGGCCACTTCACTACCATCAATGGTATGGGTAAGAGGACGGTGGGCAGCAGATGAATTTCATTTGCCTCAGTGCCTGCTAATTCGAAGATCAACATCAAAGTAGGTGGTAGACCATATATTTGCCAATCATGTTTCTGGATATAATTGAACATTTTCAGCGTCTTGCTAACGTCAATTCCGTATGCAGTGAATGAGGTTTTTTGGAAGAGGAATGAAACTGCGATTGTTTCAGGGGTAAATGAACCTTTAGCAAGGACGGCTTACGCAATCATCGCGAATAGTCAGCCCATCGATATCCAAAAGCGTTTTCTTAAATTCTCAATTTTAGGCAAAGAATTACCTGAATTTGTGTCACGATGTGACTGTATGCAGCGTTTGATTCACAATGTGATACTCTACACCTCGAATCGCCGATACTAGTTGTTTTGCATCGCTAATGTAATGTTGTAATTATTGCTTTATAAATAAGCATCGGATAGCATAATTAATTGTGACTAAAATGCATTCGCAAAGGCTGCAGGATCCCATTTTCTACACCATGATTTAGTAATTCTAGGTCATATTTTTTCAACCGGCATCGTAAATGCGATTTTGCCTTCGAAGAGCGTGTGGACGCTGAGGCTACGTGAAAGTATCAGCGCTACAATTCAACGCCTCATCCCATTGTAACGGGATGTCGTGACCACCATCCCTCACCTCATTGGCTGCAATGCTAGGGTGGGCAATTTTGGGCATCAACATCACTGCCTGGACGATGGTGAGCCCAGACGAATCTCACCTCATCCATGCGGGAAATTGAGTCGGCACAGACTAAGGCGTAACTTGCTGTAGGACTTTGTTAGCTAAATATTACATTAACTGGTTAAATGGTTTAATATATTTTGGTAATGCACTCCACTTTATATATGCCTCATGCACTCAATCGGGAAGTAGTTTATAATTTCATTTTATGCAGTTGCACTAGTTTTTTTGCATTACGAAAGGAAGAGGACATTTAAAGACCACAGAACAGCAATACGCATGAAATGGATTTGACGAAGCAGATCACTTAGAGCACTTTGGTAAAGCCATAATTGCAAAATTAGGCAGTCACTAAAGAATTCATTCCTGCAGTTAATTCTTTCATCGCAATTCCCGATGGAACTTGTAGGTGTTTCCTACGGGGTGTAATCGGCCTGTACAGCCGTGCCTGTCGTACTATCTCTTCTTCCTGATGTGTGACAGGCGGAAGTTTTCCATGTGATACTGAAAGTTTGTCATATCCCTTCTTTCAGCTATAATACGTCCTCTGGAACATTGTAGATTGCCACTTCCATGTGTGGTAAGAAGCCATCGGTTGGTGCTCTCATCTTACGACATGTGAGTCGCCTGAACGGTAAAAAGCTGGTTGTTGTATGAACTGTCCTGTACGCATGAAGGCACCGTCCATGACTCAGCTCCCAGCCTTCGGGTTGTGCATCCCTAGTGAAATCCTTCAGTAGTCAAATCAGAGTGCGATTCGTTCTTCCCACCTGTCCATCACCTTGCGGATGCTCAGGTGTCGGTATGCGTCTTGAAAACTCCGAAGGTCTTGCATGGTTCAACAAGGAGTCATCTTTCGAAATTAGCGCCTTGATCGTGTTGACTAAGCAGTCGATTGAAGAAAACCGAACCAACTGTTTTAGCATCTTATGTCTTCATCAACTCTACCTCAGCTTCTTCCATGAAGTAGTCCACCGTAATCAAAATATACCGGTTTCCTCTCTTGATGGGCGTTAGGGGAGGCGTGACAACAATACCTACCTTTTACCCCAGGGACCCTGTGAGCATAATTTGAGGTTGTGCGATCGCTGTTGGGTGGAACCTAGTGAGGTTGCTGCAAGTGACGCAGGCTCGGTGGAAATCAAGTACATCTGGGGTGAACGAAGGCCACTGGTATCCTTTGCCCCAGCTGTCCACCATCTTATCCACGTGGCCCAGTTGCTCGTGTAGGTTCTGGAGAGTTGTTTGTACCAATGATCCTGGTGAAACTACTAGAAGGAGTTTTGACGTTTATCTTACCACGCTTGATGGCGTGAAGCCTTAACTCTTCCTTCAACTGACTTTTTATGTAGCTGACGAATAGCACATTATTTTCCACCTCCGCGACAGGTGCCCCAAAGGTCAATTCAAAGCGAAGTTTTGAAGTTTGCACTAGTATCATATAACAGCGAAGTAGACGTATACTTAACAGGGCTTTAGTTTAGGGCTAAATTAGGATTAGTCAGTTCATTTCCCTTCCTGAACAAATAACGCACTGGATGTGGAATTATTGCTACCAGGAAACTGCGTACTCTTATATGTGATATCCGTGACCTTGATTGTCCTCGACGCTAATCTGCAGATTTGTCAATTTGAAAATATGATCGGCAATTTAAAGTTTCAGGACGTGATGGTCCTGTGCATTTTTACTTAGATCTTATTTAATTTAGAGCACCACCTTTTCACTGTGCAATGCTTTCATCTATTCTATTTTATCTGATACTCTGGTAGAAACAAGTGAATTGCGAATTCCTACTTTAGTTTACATGCGACTTATCCTTCCTCCAAACCCTCTCATCTTATTGGATTCAGAATGAGTATAATTTTATGCAGTTGAAGCCAACTTTAAGTTCTTCCCAGTCCTTTGGCTTGGTTTAGAAATGTTTTCAGATGAATGCTTTATCTTTGCTAAAGTGAGCCATAACAATTATCTTGCATTTTGGGAAACTCACACGCTTGATTGCGTATATCCAATGCACATCCCGATCAAATGCAATTCTGAGTCAAGAAATGGAACTTGTTTTACTACTGAGACTGGGGTTGCGACTAGAATTAATCTACTCGTGCATAAGGCGGACATGTCTCAGAAAATTGCCGTAAAAAGTCCCGTGTCACCTAGGTGATCTGACGGAGAATTCAAGCAGCTCATACGCTTTCATGTTATAAGGGTATATTTCAAAATGTACTCCTGTGTTATGAAAGCGATTTTTTTTAGTAAACTTTCCAATACAGTACAAGAGAGTGAGAATGAGAGAGAGATAGTCACAAATGCATTTTTCACTAACTTCTGAACAGCTATACTACTTTCCATTGGAAAAGGTCTTGATTTCCCTACCACCACAAACCATTCATGCATCGTGCAATGATCGGCGCTGTGTTGAAGCCTTTTCGCCACGTCTTCATCCCATCTCAACTTTATTTGCGTCATTGTTTCATGTTTACTTCCGTGCCATATTTTTGCCGCGGAATATCAAGGAGCATTAATTTTAAACAGCTTGTTGCGAAAATATCATGATAGTTGCAGTTGATGCATTTACGGCTTTTCGGGTGGATGAATAAATGGCATTTCATCAGCACGGAGGGGCATGCCATGAAGTCGGGCTCAATTTCATTACATCTCAATTTTTATCGCGATTAATGTTTCCAATTGTTGATGTAAATCCACAGACTTGATTATGTCAGAGTGTATGACTTCTTTAAATTTCTTTCGAGAAAACTCCCTTTTTTTCGTTAACCACATGCGTATCTGCTTGGCTTTGTAGGTGTGTGTGTGTGTGTACATGAGAATAATCTACATTAAGTACATCATTTGAAACCCTTGCTCCAGTATTTACCCAAATTTGGAGCACATTGGAAGATCACTCACTGGAATGCGTAGATGTGCTCGCGATTTACCAAAAGCCAGTGAAACTTGTACGCTGAGACGAAATTGCAACTACCGAGTTGCATCTTAGCGAGGAGTAGCCCACTTCGGGATGCCCTACAAGCGCGTGCATGCAATCAGGGCAAAATTCTACAGTCTCCAGGCTTCAATCACACTGCTGAACTGGGCAAGAATTGCTGACGCCAACATCCCCATCACCACAATCGGAAAGCGTGGAAGGTGTAAGGAGGTGAAGGCACAGCCAGAGTACTCCCCACTGCAGTGTCAGGATGGAATTTATTCTCCCAACATCGTGATGAGCGAGCGCACGAGAAAAAGTGCTCCATCAAGTTTGCATGTGTTTATCATCCCATTAACAATCAATGGGTACCCACTAATACGTGCTGCTCAAGAGTATCCCATAAACACGGATCCGCATGAATGACTGTGTGATGTGGATCTCCTCACCTTGTCAGGTGTTTAAACTGCAAAAGTGTCGGAGGGACTTATAATTTGTTTAAAGTTTATCAGTATTAGATAATGAACAATATCTTGACTCCATCTTTAATAAAAAGGGGTGAATAAATTGAGGGTATGATTTGTGTGCTACTTAAACTGATATATTCTCAGATATTACTCGTTAAATCTCATTCCATAAATTTGTGCACTTGGCTTTTTCAGATTCAGCGACGGATTTTTTGAGATTTCTAACCACTCACTGCTTGAGAGGGGTGGTCTATTTTGTCCCAGAAGGCGGGTGAGAGAGAATGATAAAGCAATTTTGACCACAAACCTGATTGATAGTGTTAATGAGTTGGATGTAGAAGGGGCAACGTCCCTCATGAGTCTGTGGGTAGTCTCGAAGGCCACCACTGGCAATGAACTCCATGACGTAAGTACTCTCCCGTCAGCCGTGTCAAAGCAGAAGCCAAGACAGCGCACGATACGCTAATGTGAGAGTTTGTGCATCACCTCTGCCTCCTTCCGGAAGGCCTGGTCGTTCGTGTTGTTGAGACCCCTCTTCACTGTCACACCCATGGCGTGTATACGATCCAGGTAGATCCCACCGAAGCTGACTCTTACCATTTCCTTCTCAAGCTTCACGTCTTCCTTAAAACTGAACAGCCGTGCTACTCTGTGTGGGTGCACCTCAATCCGACTTACCTTACTGTAGATGGATTTTGTTAAAGAAAAGAAGGTGTACTGGGAAATAAAAGGAACGCTAACATGACAGGTCCGTTTATGTCACCATTCTCACTCCTTACTAAAACACGTTGTGTAAATTATTCGCACCCATTTTGTTATTAAGTCTTGATAAACTCATCAAGTCGAAAGGCACGAACACTATGGGGGCACGCAGCCACTTGATACGATATGGTTGCATACATGTGCTCTATAGGGTGGCAGCAAATTTAAATAGGACTTGTAGTGATGGCTTTTGGAGAGGCAACTAGTATTTCCCACTTGACATCATTCATCTTACCTCGTAAAACGTCTTCATGCTGGAAAGGAGTGCCCAAAATGAAAAACTATATTTTTTACAAAGTACTACAAGGTACGTGCGAATAGGATGGTTCTCAAATGGCAAATTTCTATAATGGCCGTAAAAGAGTGGCGATGAAGCGTGGCACAACTATTTGTGTCTGTAAACTCTGTCAACATTAAATAAAGTAGGTAAGGGTCATTCTACTTCTGAGTTGCGAGGGCTACTGTAACTCAGGTAAATAAAGGTATGTAATCTAAAAGCACTGCCAAAACCTGATCCCCTCTTCATGGCAATTTATGAAATATGCACATCGCTAGCCAAAAATTGTCCTCTCTAACAAGAGGAAAAGGAAAGATAATGTGACATAGAATGCTTGTGTAGTCTTTGGTGTAACATGTCTTACGTTTCTCTCGCAAATCTAAGGTTTATACATTATCACTGTGCATAGCATTGTTAAACACTCCACTTTACTTAGCATTGAGATAAACCCAGTAACATTGCCCAGGATTGTTCTGATAGTAGTTTTACATTTCCGTTTTTAACCATAGCAATTTAAATTGGTAGTAAGTGGTCTGCAGGTAAAGAAAACTGGATATTTGGAAAAAGTTAGTAATTCCATGTTGTTTTTTTCGAAATAGGAATCAAAGTTATTGATACTGAATCCATTTGCCCGAACCTAAAAATGACAACATAGACATGGAAATAACCATCCCATAGTTTCCCCTTGGTGTAAGTACTATGCTTCAAGTTAAATGGATATATACATATGTGTACGGAAGTATTGAATTTGCATATTTTTAGCTTTAGAGTTTGTAAACTCACTCATTTGTGCATTTCAGTAACTCGCAGTACAATTTGGAGAGGTCGTAAAGAGTATTATTTTCCTAGGTTATTCGCCATTTTATTCACTGCTGGTGTATGGATGCATGTACTTTGTGTCAGTAGATATAAAAATTCACGAAAAAGATTAAGAAGGTAAATAAGCATTAGGTAATCCTTTTAACTCTCCAATCAACTCAAAGTTAAAAGGGTAACTTTGAGCAAAGTGCCTACTCCGCCTAGATAGAGATTATGGGGCCGGATTGGAATTAGGGCATGAGAAGCTTGCATTCTGCATTTACATGATCAGAGTCATGACGGGCTTCAAAAACATTAACAAAAAAACTGGTATATCCTCTTACCTTTTCAGAGGGATTATATTAGTAAGCAGTAGGCTAGAACGCCATCAAGTAGCAAAAATATGAAAAAGTGTGATATTGAAGCCAATAAGTTGAGCAAATACACAAGTCTCACAAAAAACCAACCAGCAAAAGGCATTAAATCGCTCATGTTGAAATCGCGGCAAAGGTCACCAACCCTAGAAACTGAACATTCGATTGATAAAAACTAGAAGAAACGTCTGTAAATAAACGAAATGGCATTAGAAAGCAATGTAATTTTTTTAATATCTAGGGCAGTGAATCACTTAGTGATGTATGCACATGCAATGGGGTGGTTGTTTAACTCGCAGTCTTGGCAAATGCGTGCTTTGGGCCTTCGCCGTTGTAACCTCGTCGGGTAGGCTATCCTCCGGACCAGGCCAGTAGCCTTAAGCTTCGGCGTACCAGATACATGTATACATGTATGCATTCTGCTCGAGTATTGTTTCTAATTTCGTCTTTGAGAGAGCCTCTAAAGCTTCTTTCATTCTACTGAATAACCCTCAAAATAAGGAAATAAAATAGTGGGATTTGTACCCTGATTGATGTTCATAGATAAAAATATCATTTGTATAATGCGAAAAATCCTTTTTAGGCAAAAAATGTGACTGGGTGGATTCCCTTGGTACGGAGAAATTATGCGAATGTCCAAAAGGAAAATTGATATTTTGGCTTTCACACATAATATGCCTGTGTAAATACACCCAAATGCATGTGCGTAAGCCACATAAAGTCATAGTTTTAATGTTGGGGAAACGATGAGAGGTGTTGCAAATAAACTTTTGTTTGGAGATGTTTGGTTAGTGGGGAATATAAGGCCAAAAGCTGTCTCCTGAAAATAGCGATGGAAAGCAGAATATTTTTAATCACCTTGTGATGATGAATGCACATTAATGCAGAATAGAAGTTTTCTGGTTCCACGAAAGACTAATTAAAACCACAAGGTAGTAACGTTGGGCTTGGCAAGGAAATTTACATTTGAGCTTACTACGTTCAGAGTTAGTGGCAAAGCAGATCCAACATCTACCAAGCAGATTTTCGTCCGCACGTAAAATGAGGTATCCATTTATATTTGAATAATTTGTCTAGAGGAAAGTGTACCAGTTAAAGCACCATTGATCCTCATTTCTTAGTACATCAACCATGCCATTTCGCCCTTATTTGAATTTGTTCCTCTATTCTGTCACTTCATTGCTTAAAGCCGTTATCACTTCGCCTGTTTAATTTTATCTGCTTTCTACTTTCACGGATTCTGCCTCTACTTCCGCCATTACTTATGGCCCTTCCGTACCAAAGTCGCTATTTATTCACTCCGCTTTTTCCTCACTTGCCACCCTACTTCATCTTTACTATCTGCTTCATAATTTTCATTCAATTTTCAAAGAATTTCCTTCCCTGCTACTGATTCTGTTTCTCTCCACGTCCAATAATTCAATTTCCGCATACTATTCCACATCATATTCCATTCCCATCCACCATTTGCTCCTTCTTCTCCTTCCTCAAAGTCGCAGCCCCGTCGTTAGCATTTTTTGTACTATAAGGTCCTCATCTTCTTATTCTTGTAATCCCACTGATCTACGTTTCCTTCCTTACAAACTACTTAATTTCTCCTTTGCTTCCATCATTCTCCTTCCTCTGGTACTTCTATTCCAATTGCCCAGTTATGTTATCCGTGTATTTGTGCTAAATATACTTCCCCGCTCCTTGTCTGTTCTCTTTCTATCTTCAATTTTTTGTCTGTTTTACCCCAAATTTTCTTCAAACTGTCCTCATTCACCTTTTCTCCTGCCTTATTTGTCCACAAAATCTCAAAGTACGGCGTCTTCCGGTGCACGCCTTTACTGCACCGAATGCTGAGAGGATCATCCAACGTGGAAGGTGCCAACAGAGCATTTCATTTATGCCATGCCTGGGTGGTTTCCTTCATTTACCATGCTCGCTTCCTGACGACTGGTTCCACTCATTCTTCATGTCTCTTAATTCACAGATATTTGGCGAAAACCTGTTTCGGTTAATAAGAAAGATAACGCTTTCGGCTGATATTCTTTGTTACTTCTTAATAAGACTTACTTTAGCTCACTGTGTTTTTGCTAAAATAATAACCCATTAAAAAATTATTGTTACATACAGTCTTTAAGTATCCTATGAAAAGCAATTTTTTTAATTTACTATTGCTTAGTTAATAAGGCGAGGGACACATTTATTCCTTTGGTACTTAAAAACAACTCCAAACTAATGGCAGAGGAACAACAGTCAAACATGGTTTATTGAGCGGTTGGGTTTTCTTTAAAAATAGAAATTATTTTTAAGACATAAGTAAATTATTTTTGGTTGACCATGCTTTGGTTCCCTCCAGCTAAATGCTTTCACTTACCTTTCGTGGACAATTACACAGGGATATTATTTGTAAGCAAATATATGTTCAAGTTGGGCTTTTTGAACTGCATGCAGGTCATTGTGATTTAGGCAGTGTTAGATGTATAGACTACCACCTGTCTTTTTAAATAGACCCACAACTATAACGAAGAAGTCTTATTATTTGTTCAAAAAGGCATCTGGGCCCTCTAAATGGAGTCATGCAGACATATTTCTGACTGCGGATTGTATCACCCGAGCTCTTAGCGTAGAGATATCCGACGTGAAAGAGTTGTGGATAAAATCCTTCTTTAAATGTACGTTCGAATGCAAACAAGTGATTCATTTGTCGACATGTCGTTTCAATTTGCATGTTAGAATTCCATCATTTGCTCCTTAACTGTTAAATAATTTGAAATCTCACTGATGGTAATGTGTAATGTAATATGCTACCAGAATGAATAATTTGTGAGAAAAAGACAGTTTAAGAGAAATGAATTTTTATCAGGTTTATTCCCATTTAAAAAGAACATGTGTTTTTCAAAAAGCTAAAATTCTTTGTAGGTTTAAATCGAATGGCAGATGGAATCCTTACCTATTCCCTAACCTTAGGCATCGATGTTCCGTTTTGCAATTTCCACCGACTTCTTTAAATGCAATGCAGCGATTTGGCAGTTTGTACAACTGTGTTTGAACTACCCGGGCACTTAGGTTCCCACAGATTAAAGTTAACCTCACACAAACACACTTTTTCCAAATTCTAAACAATTAGTACATTTGTAGTAAATGTAGTAGGTAAGTAAATGCTTCCCTGGAAAACTACTGTTTTCATGTTCAATTTGATTTAGATTCGACCGTAATGTCGCTAACAAGTACAGTTTACAGCTTCCTATTCCTTCATTTTAAGAACATTAAAACCTTAATTATTTTAAAATTGTAGAAAACAAAGCTGTATTATTTTGCTCGCCAAATCCTTTCGCGTCTTTCGGTTTCCTTATTTTAGTCAAATCATCTATGGACATAGAAGTTTCTATTTTATTTGCCTTATTTAACTATCCTTTCCCTCAAATGCAGGGTATATACCTCAATTTGGATTGGCATTCGCTAGGCTAGCGTGTATTTTAGGAATCCACTTTTACTCGGCATTTTGTGTCACAGATGTGTTAGAATTCCAAGTTTGATTGGTCCTGCCACCACACTCAAATGATCTTTCATTCCAAATAATACGACGTCATGTATAGAGAGGATAGGAACGCTAAAATACTTGAAGGAGAAGTATGCGGAGTTCCACTTTTAATTAATGCAATTTAATGGTCACCCGAATTGTTAGGAAGTTATGAGATGTTGGTGCTTCTTGTAGGTAACCGACACCTGACCTTTAGCATCGCCTTTTTCAATCCGTCTAGAAGGTTCGCGCAAAGCTGCCTGCTGTTGTAGCGCAAGTGGGGACTCATCGCATGCAAAGCGTAATGAAACTTGGAAACATCCACTATCTGAACAATTCCACTCTCTTCGTATTGGGTGACTACGCGGAATTCTAATAGCGCGATGAAGTATCCACGATTGTATGGTTTGCTGATTAAAAAAATGAGAATGAAAAGGAAAGCCTAAAGACATGTGAATTTGAAAGATGTAAATGATGATAATAATAAGATAACTCACGGGAACTGGAAGGCCTCCGTCCGTCTAAAAAGAAAGCCCAAATTTCTCGCCTCAACAGTGCAGGCAACTGGCAATTTGTCGTCGTAGCATTGCACAAACCAGTAAGCTTCTGTGCTATTCCCACGCCAAAATTCATTCTTGAAAATTGACTTTAACGCCATCAGGTGAAAAGCTTGTCTGATTAGGTAAGTAGTGATTTCCGATTTATCTAAATAGTAGTCTGCCGCATTTCCTGGGCAAGTGCCTAAAATGTCAAAACTTCATGTTGAAATAGAGATTGACCTTTGGTGGTATGATGCATTAACCAGTAACATTTTGCAAAGACATTTCATTGTTCTTCGCTATTTTCGGACTCTTTTTAGCAGGAGACTTGTCTTTGATTAGTTACTTTGGAATCCAGGGAACTCACTTATTGTCGGACCCCGAAACGAAAGGTCAAATACTATAGGCGCCTCCGTTTGCCCGATCCCCAGTGCACAAAAGCATGAAAGCAGAACCACAATTGCGTGGCTTAACAAGCATCTCATTACCTTTAAACGCAATGCTTGGAAGCCTGTATGTGTTAAAAGGTGTGCTTTTTATATTCACACGGCCATCGAATGAGTCAAGTAATTAAATGTTTGTGATTTTGCATGTTGGTACATTTACTGTTCACCAACAAAGATCGCGCATCTTGGTACAATGTAAGCAATCCAAGCAAATCAAATGTGCGATTAAACAAATAGAATGACGATCTCCCATAGCTACAATAATCACATCCAGGCAAGCTATCTTCGACTTTATAATGACTAAATTGGTTTGGAGGGCATTTCACCACCTATGTAGTTCCTTTATTGTGCCTTCCTTCTAGTCAGGGTTTTGGATCCCGCAATCCGAAAGAAGGTAAGAGGCGGACATGTGTGCATAATGATAATGTAGGGATTATAAAAACGGTCAAAGTATTACCGAGGAGGAATCGGAGTTTGTCTCTTGTGGAGGGATCGAAGACGCCATCGCAGAGGCCAACTGTCGTCCAACAGGCGCATTCTGCCAAAAAATTGCATTCCATAAAAGCGAAATCTACCAAAGGTGTTTTGCACTGTTAAATATTAACAGTAAATGTACCTTCCAACAAAACTTTATTTTGGAATTCTGTCGGAGCTGGATAAAGTTATGATTGCTTTTTGGATTCTGCGCTGTTTAAAAACAAATTCTCATTCAAGCTTGTAAAGATGTTAAATAGAACAAAATTCATTTTTTCATTTTATTGATGCCCATTTCATACGGTAGTAGCTCCACCTTTAAATACGTGAAGTGAGGACACTGGCAGGGACTCAATGCAAGCGTCTTATTTACAAGGACACTGAATTAGTTGGCTTGTGCTTCGCTTTAAGAATTATCAAATCGTTGAATACCTTGTGGAATACTTGTTTGTTGAAATAAAGACTACCGCCTTCTGTAATCCTCTCCTAATGGTACACAATTTCTGCTTAGAATTCCACTTTTGTGCAGTAGAAAGCCCTACCTTGGCCACATCTCATTCCATGTTACCTCATGCCCACGATGTCTATCCGTTTAGCAGGCCATCGTATAGTGTTGATGCCAAAAAGTGGTGGTAATTGTTAGCGCCTTGGAGGGCAAGACTTGAGGATTACAGAGGATGTGGTGCATCAGCATCTTTTCCTTCATCCCTTGCTAATTTGCACCTCCAGTTCATCTTAGGTGGGTAGATTATGGTCATAATTGTTTGGTTTTCTCAAGGAAATTTGCTGCAAGAGACTCGTTTAAATTGTACTGTATAGTCCTGTTGCGATGAGGCGATCCGTGCCTTGGACGCGTAGGATGAGCAATGAGATGGAGGATAGTTTGGAGATGACAGTGAAATATTTTCCCACTAAACCTTTACTATAATATCAAAGTTATGGTGAGAATGTAAGAGCCAGTAGTGCTAGAAGATAAATGTCATCAGCTCATGTACCGCTTATGCCATTCACATGCTCACTGTTTTCCACGATTTTACTGTCCCTTTAATGTGGGCGGTAATCCGTTGCTTACCCATCCAAATAGGGTGTTACTACAAGTTGTTTCCGGTATTTTGAGCACAAAAGCTGTGGTAATAATGACACGCATTTCTTCGTTGTGAAGAATAGGCAATGGTTCCGGACCAACTTTGACGTAAGACACCTTTGGACTTTATAATAAGCGCTTATAAACTTGAAGGAATACCCTATTATGGCATTAATTGGATACCTCCATTTATTATGGCGTAGAGACCAAAACATACTTAGAATACCCATTTTGCAAAAAAGTGACACCACAGCACTTTCTTGGACTAATTACCATGGCACTCTGACAGTTTGCCAAAATTTGCGTATAATAACGCAGGCACTTTACTCACCGCAGACATTATTCAACGGCATAGTCTTCTAGCCACGCCGATAGCTTCTGCGTCTCTCTTCTACATCAGTAGTAGTTGTTCTGATACACTAATGTGAATTCTTTCCAACCTGGGCGAGACTCAGGGTGCTGCATTAGCGTTGGGCATAATTTTAAGACCCATGTAGAGATCCTTTTAGAAGCAGAATTAAAAAATCGTCCGAATTTCCTAGGTGTTTTATGAATTCTGGGTTCCAGCTCATAACATATTCATTGCGACAGAATGCATTTGCCGAAAGGAGGCTTATCATTAATGGGCGCACAATATGCAGGACAGTAAAGGGGTTTTGCAAATTTAATTCTCCGGCTGATGCTGGCACAAGCAAAACGGGGTATGTAATAGCGGAAATGCCACAATACTCACCTACCCCATACTACTGTCACCACACTTTGTCTTTGGATATAGTGTGCCTTATAAAAAGTGTGTAACTGGTGTGGTTTACTGATGGGCATTATTCCATTGAAGTCTCGAGTACGCTGAGCACAACTACGTAAAAATGAAATAGTCATGGAACTCAAAATCACAATAGTTTTTTTGAAAACTGTTGTGATCATTTTTCCAGAGTAAAAAGCTGCATTAAACTTTTATCGAGTAGAAGATGAATATCAACGCTTACTTAACATTTCTTCGAAATCCAGCTTGTACCTGTGTAAAATTTGGTAATGTGAAGTAAAGGACTGTAAACTGCACAGCATCTAATCACGAAAAACGGTCACTTCTAGCCATCTGTCAGGTCTCGAGCTGCCTATGCAAGTACCGGTGAAAGACTTCAAACGAAAATTATTGAAGCACAGTGGGATTAGAGGTGTTTTCTGCATTCCTGGGTTATCGGCCTTTTACCCCATTTCATCCCCTTTCTCGTCAAGATCGGTGTTTGTCGTTCTGCTTGTAAAAATACATAGTACAAAATAGAATTTAGCATTATGCCGCCGAGTTTCGTGTTTAACTTGGTACAGCTTAAGCCTGCTTGAGCTCATAATTCCCGCTTAAGAGTAAATGAAATATGAAATAAGTAATTCAAGCAAGACTCATTTATTTTATGTGCCTTCAACTAAATTGTAGAAAAATAACCAAAAATAGTGAAAGAAAAGAAATTTAGTACCTGTTAAGCAGTAACTTTAATGGGGAATTAAATGGAATGGATTTGCTGATTAGTTTGCACAAAATGAATTAGTTTAAGCATAATTCATGATTTTTCCATTAAAATACTAAAATAATTATAGCAGGAATTAGCCTCAACTTGCAGTAACACTCATAAATTGGAATGTGGATTGACCTCTTAGAGTTTTTATATAAACAGTTGGAATTTGCGTCAAAGTAGTCCTTAATAGCCACAAATATCTAGACAGGGTGTTGCTGCTCCGTTTGTCCACACTTTGCATAAATGCATTCCGTATGTGGAATGTGCCCTTGGAATGTGACCTTTTATCCCAAAACCTTATTTTCATTTGCATTTGTGTTAATCATAAGGTAAATTGATCTGACAAACTGTAAAACTTCTTTGAAATCACAGGTGGTAAAAGTTGAGCACTTTTGCTGAAATTACTTGATTCTTTCAAGGGACTAATTTTGTACAGCGCCGAGAATAATTAATTCACTGAAATGGTGGCTGAAAAAGCAGGAAGGGTTTAGTGATTCATGCATGTGTACTTCTTCTGTAGTTTGGAATATGATCTTCAAAATACTCAAGTCTTAATAATTACTTCGATTTGCACACTAATTTCACTGCACAGATGTCATAGCTGCCAAAAGGCTATTTTTAACATGCGATTATCTTTTCCAAAGTAAAAAGTCATAGTGTCAAGGCAAAAAACGTATCTCTGACGTGCAGGTGGGCCCAGAGTCTACTACCGTATCCCAGTGGCCACGTTTTTGAGCTGAAGTACCATGGGGGAACCTCGAATCCGCACCCAAGCAAGACGTAAAGGCATCCAAATATTCTTAGGTGTGCAGCAGAGTCCCGAGTCCTTGCCGAAGCAGTAAGAGGTTACGACAGCATTGCTGAGTGTATTTGACCGCCATGCCGCCATGTGGTAGCACAGCCAGTGGAGAATGAATCGCCGGCGTAATCAAACACAGCGTTAAACCATCAAAGCACTACATAATAATGCTGTATTGCTCTTATTTAACGGTAAAGTGCCCATAATTACATTCTCGTGCTGAGCCTAATTGTGCATTTAGATTGTAATGCTTCTACCCTCTAGCTCCAAAGACTAGCAACTGCGGCTGAAAGGTCTGTGGAGCGGTGCTGATGCGGAATGAGGGTTAGTTATTACGATCGGTGGACGTTGTAGCGTATGCAGAGTAAAATATTTTGGCCACTTGGATTGTAAAAGTGATTTCGATAAGTTTGTTTCCCAAGTATAACCAATCTCACATTTTTTAAACAATTGGATGGTGACAATACACTTAAATGTAGCCAAGTGCCAAGTTCACGGGACCTTGTCCCGTGAGCAAGGAAACGTCTCCGGATAATTTACTCATTTTAGAACGCCACACGTTGGCTGCTGCAACTAAATCCAAATAAATGGTTCCTACATACGGATTTCAGGGCACAATCTGAAAAATTTGAATTTTGGAACGTAAAGTGAAACAGGAAATGAAGTATCCTGTATTTCTGCTAAACAATATCTCTTTCCTAGAACACTTCAATTATATTCAAAGCTTTCATCATGCATGAAATAAAACATTGAAATTTTTTATGTGTGCTAAGTTAATTGATCATCTGCTCATCCAATTCGTACAAAATTAATAGTTTTAATTCACGTGGTTTCACGGTAGATCATACAATTTCCAGAAATTATTGCCCAATATGAAATGAGGAAACAAGGTATCTTCCTCCTTATGATAGAGAAGTGCTTTAAGGCTGCATGAACAATATGCCTGAAACTCTCCAAATCAGTGCTGATTACCAGTGAGGACGGGTGTCTTCGCAACAGAGAAGAGGTAAGAACCTTTCCTTGAATCAAATCATATCTTGTTTTGGCAGATATATGACTACTATACAATTCAAATCAATCTACCAAAGTTGCAAAATATGTTTACTTTTGCATGGGTATCAGACATCTCGCTCAGTGGACGTGCAAACAGCGGAGACTTTCAGCTCCGAGACGAAAAATATACCGCTAAATAGAACACCGAATCACCATATTAAGTGGTGATTGATTGACAGAAGTGGCCCACTCTATCCCAGGAAAGACCTTGGATGGCGAGCAAGCAAGCATGCACAGCTTTATACAATGAAATGATCAAAGGAAACTTTTTAACTTGTTTAATATACTTACAACGTTTCTTCCCTTGTAACCAAACAGTCCGGACTCAATGATCTGTAAGTTTACCTCAATATTCAGCTGTTCCTCAACATGAGTTCATCCGAGGCGAAGAAAAGGTGGCATCTGTCTCCAGGAGTGAGAGTAAATTCAAGTGGTTCGGAATAGTGGGTAACATCCTGATCACCTATCCCCACGTTTCCGAGGCAGCAGTTATTCTTTCGCGCCTTTCATAAGAGCCGTAATTATTTGACCTTTGCACTGCCGAGTGCGCATTCTATCACTCACAAACGTGGCAAGTCCACTAGGATTCCGAGTAGGTAATCATTTCCTCTTATTTATACCCTTTTGATAAGATCTGCTTATCGTAGTCGACGAACTAAATTTCACCAGTAATCACCAAAAATATGTGCTGATAGGATAATAATGCGCTGCGTATTGAATAATCCGCAAATCTTGAATAACCAGACACAGTAGCATGCAACACTTTGTTCCCACCAGCAAACACAGCGATCTTTAAATCTGCTTCACTTTCGTTTCTATTCCGTCACCACCCAGTTCTCATCAGGTGGTCGTACAAAAGGAAGGCAGGGTGGTATTGGCCACTCGTAGTAAAGGTGAATCCGAGTGGTTTTGAAGGTGAGGTCGCGGATAAGGTGGCATTCTCCTCCCCATTCGCAGGTTGCAGGCGCAGTGGTTGCTCCTGCACACCTTTTAGCTAAACGGTAATTCTTTGACCCTTGCACACGCAAGTGTGCAAAACATCACTCAAAAAACAAACTGACTTAATTTTGAAATCTAACAGGAGAACAATTAATGACTACAAGGTACATCCGCCATTCGTTCATTGCCACTCAAGCGCGGATCCTCAACATTTTTTGCAGCTGCTAGGCCATGTATGAGAATGGCAGAGGCTCCCTCGCTTCTTCCCCCTCCTCCTCCTCCTTTCCTCATCAACCTCATCCACCTTCCCTCTTGTCTTCTTTTATGCCTCGTTTTCTTGCTACTGGGTACCGAAAAAGACCGATGTTGTCTGCAACGACGGCAGCTGTCAACATGCCCGCAGTGGTCAAAACCGGTGAAATTTTGCAAGATCTTGCTGTGTTGGAAACCAAGGGTAAGGATCGCTCACGCAATAGGTGTTCTTTTATCAATAAGAGCGAAGTTGAAGGACTAAAATCTCCGAGTTTAAGCTACCACGTCATGCGGATTACAAAATGAAGAGCAGAACATTTATTCAGACTTCCGAAATGAGGAAGCAGGTCCTTACCGCTGTTGTTGGCAAGATCCAGAGTATGTGAGGCATCCATTGCTTCTTCCCTTCTTTTGGAAGGGAATAGATAAAATGTGCGAAGCAGGAGAGAAGCGAGAGCAAACTGGTAAATCAGTTCGTCATCAGACACTATAAGTCGTGTGATTTTGGGGATTTTATTTACTGCTTGCATGTATTTGAGCATTACATGCTCTGCAGATGAAGAATCATAATCTGAACCAGCAAAGTGACAGAGGAAGCTGTCAGGAGTTTCGGTGTTGCGTCCCCTGTGACGCCTAATATTACCTCCTACTTGCATTCACCGCCATGATCTCACCGTCAGGTCATGCGAATGCAGTCGTATCAAAGCAAATTCGAAGGCCCAAATACCTTTAGCTACCAACATTTGAATGGCAAGTTCTGGCGATGTTGCAGCTCCATGAATTGGAACTTTACGTAGCGACATTCTACATAGACGCTGTGAGCCGTTTGTGCATAAGGTGCTGATATCGAAGTACTCGATTCTTGTTGCTTCGGCCTCTCCATAGGGTTATTCGAGTCAGGAACTCAAGTCAGCTCATAATCAGCTTATGACAGTAGAACATACTCATAGACATGACCACTACCTCCGAATCCATAGTTTGCACACTGTCATTCGGACAGTTGACAACTTCCTTATATTTACCACCTGTTTGTTGACACTTTTGTGTAATGGCACACATTATATGAAGATTACGGAACAATTAGCTTTAAATTCGTCATGACAATTTGTCCATGAGGGAAATGCTAACCATCTATTTTGGTTTATTCAAACACTTCGGACGTCATTTCAAAGGTAGGTCCAATGAAATGTCAAGACTGCAGTCATTTTCTCGGACTAACAGAAGCCGACCGTTGATTAGACTATTTGCATCTCCATTCTGCAATAAGAGAGTAAGCACAATTGCCTCATCACAGGCAATTGCCTGTTTCTCACTTGTGCAACGGCTAACAGGATCATCGCTTTCATTTCGCAAGGCACACTACTCACATCACCACTTTGGTTTACTAGAGTAATGGAGCAAAAATCTTTTTTACAATCATAGATCTGCAAGTAGAGGTCAAAACGCATTATTGGAAAGAAAGAAGCTCTTTTGCCTTTCGCGAACTAATCTCGAATACAAGACTACGTGAGTGGTGCGAATGTCTCGAATACCAAGAAAAAATCTTCACAACGAATTATTAATTCAGATTGCTGCAATTTTTATAACACGTAATATCACAATAAAGTGCAGTTAAACCAACACTTGACATCAGCTGTGGTTTGCAATACCACATCACCAGGTGCCACTAATACCGTCCGTGACCTATTGAGATCGTTGGGTCACCACCTTAATGGGAAAAGCAGTTAATTCTTCCGGAGACATGGATGGTCGTCAACTTTGTGCCATGCCATAATGAGCAAAGTAGCCAATGCTCTTAGAGAAGTAGCCAAGGCCCTTTTAGTAAAATTGACGTCCCGGCTATAATCACTGCTTTTCATTTATAAGCTCTAACCGAACCACTAACCCTCAGTACTGACTTATTTCGAACAATAAATCACCCTCATCCCTCAACACTAATATGAATTAACCCGCTTAGAAAGCGTTTATCAACATGATTGGAAAGTAGATTCATACAGTAAACATCTTCCGAGCCGAGAGGTACGAAGGATCCCCCACAAGGTTAATACGGTCGAAGGGGTGGTGCCCATATTCCTCCTCCAAAAATTTGGTCATTCTGGCAATGTAATCTTTACCTCCCCCATTAAAATAACTAGTCACGACATATCTATGTATGCATACAATATGCGTATGC